TTTACTAAGCGAAAAAAACCACCCCAGACAATGTTTTAACCTTCCAATTCTGTCTTGAGGGGATCTCCATACAAGTTTCATCTCCCTTAGCCAAGCAAAGGTAGAAAGATTTGACGGAGAAAATCCCATTAGAGTTTAGACTCGACATTGGATAAGCCCTTAATCCTCCCTTTCTCTGATGTTGAGTTTAACCCAAACTTATTATGTTCTTGTTCAACTCCTAAATCTTAAATACACAAAAATTAGTCACGGTTTACATATTCACAATTGAATCAACCTTCACTTATATCTCCAATTTCAAAATCAAGTATTTGTATTCTAGCTTGTCAAAGAATGAATCACAAAAATAATTAGCTTAAATTAAATGTACAATTAACTTACAATATAGAAGTTATGTTTTCATTCAGATTTCTACATGATTTCTATTGTTTTCCTATTCTTATTTCTATTCTATAGAATTTGAATCTAAACCAAACTCATCCTAAAGGCAAAAATACATTAGTTTTGACAGGCGTGATGTCTCCCCACCTGTCATAACTAACAAAAGCTGCTATAATATACCATCCAGCAGACGACTAGAGCATGTCGTAGACTGTTAACAGACTATTAGCATTTTCCAGAAGGCGCAAGGCATTTGGCCTACTGGCCTCACCATAATATGAATTCTCAAGTTCAGGTCTTCAACAACCACGCTTCCCTCTACTTTTCCCACCCCACCAAAATGCAAACAAGCACAACAAGAACACAAATTTCAACACATTTTAACTATAAATATGAGGCATCAACATATATAGAGCATTCTATTATTGGACTGATCATAATTGAAACAACAAATATACCATTTCAATAGCTCCATAATTTTATCAGTCTCAGGGCGATGAAGCAACACAAGACGAATCTGCAGGAGCAACAGAAACATTGTTGAGCCTCTCAAGAGCTAAAATAAGCGCTTGTGTGCCTAAATTACCCTCCCCGTGAGCCTTGAGCGACAGGTAAAGCTGTTGGGCAAGAGCCAGACCAGGCAAAGCAAGTCCCATCTTTTGGCATTCCTTTAGACAAATCCCCAAATCCTTAATAAAATGGTTCACGTAAAACCCTGGTTCCAAATCCCTCTTCAATATCCTACTTCCGTACAAATCCAGCGACTTTGACCCCGCAGCTCCCGTCGATATGGCATCCAGAAACAGCCCCACCTCTAGCCCTGCCTTGTGCGCATATATGATTCCTTCCACTAAGCCAACCATTGTCGACGCAATCGTTATTTGGTTCGCTAGCTTCGCGAACTGGCCTTTGCCGCTGCTTCCCATGTAATTGACCTTCCCAAGGAGGCTAAAAAGGGGATTCAGGCGCTGGATGACGGTCTTGTCCCCGCCGGCGAATATAGCCAGAGTGCCGTTCTTGGCACCGCGGTCTCCGCCAGAGACAGGGGCATCGATTGAGAAGCAGTTCTTAGCGGAAGCTTCTTCTTCGATCTCAGAGGCGAGGGAGGGTTCCGAAGTGGTCATGTCGACCAGGACACCCCCGGGTTGGAGACCAGAAAGAGCCCCGGTAGTTGGATGGAGAAGGACATTGCGGACGTCGGAGGGATAACCAACAATTGAAAAGACGACCTCGGATTGTGCGGCGACGGCTTGAGGGGAGTTAGCCAGTTTGGCCCCCATGTCGAGAAGGGGCTGCGCCTTAGAGAGGGTCCGATTGAAGACAGTGACAGTATACCCGGCTTTGATTAGGTGAGCGCACATGAAGCGGCCCATGACGCCCGTTCCGATCCAGCCTACGCGTGTGTTTGATGGACTTACAGAGTCGGTGATGGTGGTAGTGGTGGCCATGGAGCGGCGGTGTAAATGGCGAGCCGAGGATGAGATAGATGCAGCAGCAGGGGGATGAGAACATGAGTGGTGAAGGTCAGAAAGCGAGCGGAGTAATCGCGACATAATCTTCTGACGATGTCGTATTAGTTCACGGCGCTGTGAGGCTGAAATAGTAATTATACTTGAGTTGATTATACTCTTGATTCAAGTAAATTGAGCTTGGCAACTAAAACCTAGCGCGAAACTGATCCAAACCAAACTACTCTGGCTGAAAGTGAAGAAACAAGTAATAGTTTTATAGTTTCAAATCCATTTTATTTATATTCATATATAAAATTTTATTTATAATTTATATGTATTCTCATAGATAAATGAATCTTCATTCATATATATATAGTTAGTCACACCACCAAACAAAAACTACGAATAAATTTTCATTGGTTAACATACAGAAATCCCATAACATCTGATATGAAATATAAAAACACAACCCAGCTTGAACCCGTCCATATAAGAGGATTAATTGACCACCCCTTCAGTAATATATTTAACATGGTTAGTAGGTACGCTCATATTTCAAATTACAGATCTTGCCAAACTCTTCTCCAAAAAATTTCCCACATAATTTGACTGGTATCGCAATCTAACATTTGCCTCGTGCTCTTCATGGAAGAGCAAATGACTGATTCCCGTTGAACATAAATCATCAGTAGACAATTGTTGATAAGTGAATCTACAGAAAATAGATCTTGACAAAAATTCTCCGCAGATGACTTCAAAGAGTTTGAACACGTTGTGCAATCAAAACATCCTGCATAAACTATGCAACAAGATAAAGCAATCATTCGGGGGAAAAACTCTACAACTTAACTTCCATTCAGGGACATGAAAAAAAAAAATGGGGAAAACACAAGAAACATGACATAGCCACAACTCCAGTGTTCTAAGGTTGCATTTGCTTGAACCACATTCCATTCTCACCCAATTTCTACCTAAGCTTCATATTAGTTTGAAATGTAGAACTGGAATGTAATTTGCATCTTTAATCTCAAATCTACATTCACTTTGAATTCTTTGGAGGTAAGAATGGAATTTCTACCTTAATAGGATTCAAAGTGAGATTGAGAGAAGAGGTCGAACATAAAACATCTAATAATTATGTACCCTAATATTAATAGAAAGTTTTGATGTGACAACTAAATAAAAATAGAATGAGAATATAGCAAGGCACAAAACAAGAATTACAGCCGAGAATCTGATCTCAGTTACATGAAGCATATGACACGCCTACAAGGACCAGCACACAACTAAGCCTACCCTGCCAAGGTATTTTCAAAAAGTAGGCCGATAAAAAATCTCTCACATGTTCCTAAAAAATATGACCCCTGTAAGGATTAGTACATAATTTTGCACCTATTTGTTTCAAACACTAAGGCCCTGTTTAGCTATAGAAAACTATTTAATTCTTTTTTCCACAAGTTCATACATGTTTATACAGAAAAATACATGTAATAATTGAACATGTAAACAAGATCTAGAAACCATTAAACAAAATATGGTGAAAAGAATAAAAAAAATTTCTTAAACTCATGCGATACACTATCTTTCAAATATCATTTTCACTTGCAACTTCATGTATCTTCATGTTTCAAAGGTAATACTACATTAGAAAATGAAAATATATAACAGTTTTAAAGGAGAAGATATTAACCGAAGGCTATCAAAAATATGCAATCACGAGTAAAGCTAATTATACATGTTAACATGTTCAAAAACTATAATCTAAAAGTTAGTACATCTTTACCATGTTGGAAATTATTATCGCAATTGATATTGAGAATACTGGGAACAAAATGCTAAACATGTTAGATATTTGACAGAGTTCTGCACTTCAGTTTCACAACACCATGTGCAAGCCTTGCTGTCTGCTGAACCTAATTTGCTAATAACACTGTGCCAAACAATACAATAAGAACTGACAAATGCTGTATGTGCAATGAGGCAGAACACAAGAGAATTTCCATGAGCATTATATTCCAATCTGATGCTTCAACTTTCAAGTTCACCAGCTACATAAGTCGAGTGTGTTATATCATTTAAATAGAAAATAGAAGAAAAAGCAGAAACAACAGAGGATAAACAAAAGCTCGACAAAGCTTTGACCATGACAAGCAAAAATTGCACAAGTCTAGCTCTCATAGCTCAAACATATTCTAGTCTCATTTTATATTCCTAAATCTCAATAACTTGATATATTAGAATATAAATTATGATTACATATTTAACTCACAATTAACAAAATCTACTTCCATTTAACTCTAAAAGGTTGGATTCCTATTCAATCTTTATCTCACTTCTAGTGTATTCCTATTTTATTTTTAACCAATGGCAAGCTTACAGTAAAGCAGACTATTACAGTCGCATGAAAGAGATGGATAAATGAAAATAACAAGGCCAAGAAAACACTCCAATATCCACTGAGCAATAGAGATCCATAGATGATACCACAAAATGTTTTTTTCTTCATTTAGAAAAATGTAACAACACATAGAGGGCGCATATAAGAGCTAACAATAGGACAACTCGCTTAGCGCTGACTAAGACAAAACCAAAGCCCTCAACAAAATAATGCTTCAATGCACCCGGCAATAGTTTAACGCAGAAAATAGCCATTACAAAAGTGTGAAAGAGATGGACAATTGAACATAACAAGGCCATAAAAACACTTTGGTAACCACTGAGCAAGCAAATAAATGTGTGTTCTTTATGACAAATTACCTTCTTAAACAAATACTCCAGGAGAAAAAAGCTATTCCAAAACAGCTTGATGATAGAGATCCACATATGTTACCATAACTTTTTTTTTTCCATTTAGAAAAGAAAGATGTAAACAACACACGGAAAGTGCATTCTATACAAAAGCTAACATTAGAACAACTTGCTGACTAAACTAAAACGGAAGCCCTCAGTGAAATGCTTCAATACACCAGAATTCAAGTAATGATCGAGTTCAAGGACAAAATTGCCAAGAATTTCTTATTGCACAATTCTAAGACTATATTCTTCAACAAGAGCAAAAAAGAACAATGTAAATATAAATTTGGCATTCCAGCGATTCCTAAACCCACCTCACTTAAGTATTTGATGAAAGTCATATCTCACTCATAATTAACTTAACGTTAAAAGATATGAGCTGCTTATAAAACCTCAGTTTCACTTATACTCAAAATTCGGCACTGGAGGAGCGTCGAAGCTTTCGAGAATCTCCGTCTTGCTTCCCCCACTGGGCACAGTCTCTTGCTTCTTCCCGCCACCAAACCACCCTCCAAACCATGAACTTGAACTCGAATCAGAAGAAGATCCGCTTGTTGAGGCAACCTCCGGCATGGGCTGGACCGCCGCCCTGTCAGGGAGCCCCATAGGGATCCCGGACGCTCCAGGCATGCCGCCGCCAGGCTCTTCGATCATGATAGGCATGTTCTGCTGCGCGCTGAGGACCTTGTTGAGCATGATGCCGGCTCCTTCGATGAGCGCCAAAAGGACGCCTCCAAAAACAGCTGATCGGGCAGAGGCGCCGAGACCTTGGCGCAGCTGTAAGAAGCCACCGGTGGCAGCCCCTGCAATGATGGAGTTCCAAGGGTCTTCCTTCTGCCGCAGGTAGACCATACTGCAATCAAAGGTAGAGAAAAGGCCACCCCAAACGGCGAAACTTCCGCCGACACGCGGTGCATTCATACGAACGGCCTGGACGCCACCAAAAAACTTCTCACCCTTGGGGGTGTTGGAGACGCCCTTGAGAAAGTTGAAGGCGGAACCGCCTACAGCTCCCATCCCGAAGGCTCCACCAACATCGTCAAGGATACGATCTGGGCAGGGTTCGCGCGAAGTCTCTGGAGTTCCCATGGATGTGAAAGTCTTTTGCTTTGATTCGATATGAGATATTTGGTTGACGACGTTTAAGGGGTTGACGATCAAAGAGAGAGATCGGGGAAAGAGGAAACCCTAATCTCTCTTAATGTGATTGGGAGTTTATTGAGTGTTTTAAAGTTGAACCTCTCTGCTTTTCTAATTACAGAAAACTCTTAGTTATATTTGGAATTGGCAGCCGCCCTCAATTTTCCCTTGATAATTTATTTATTAAAATAAATAATTTTTTGGCATAATTATGTTATTAGGATTAATGAAATATAACATATTCAAATAAAAAATAAAAATCATATTTAGATTGTAATGCTCAAATTTAATTTAATGTAAATTAAATTAATTTATAAATATAATTTTTTAATTTTTTAATTTTAATTTAGTGTAAAAATAAAAAAATTTGATGGATAATGAAATTGAAAACGATTTCGAAGAAAATGTATGAAAATTTTGATTTTAAGAATATTTTTGAAAGAAAAATCAGAAACTAGAGAGTTAAAATATAATTTAGAGAAGTTGTGCTACGTGAGATGCCCGGTCAGTAGCCCCGACGAACCAGGATACACTGTGTGACAATGGACGCTGATGTAGTGCCATGCGGGCGATCCACATGTCCGCGATCAAACGATCCAGATTCGTCTCGTGCTCACGAACGATTTGGATGTGTTCATTTCTCAAACGCGATCGGACGATCAGATTTAAACGCGATGGACAGTTCAGATCTGTTCCCTATTTAAATGCGATCGGACAGTCCATATTAGATCATGATGAACAACCCAAATTCGCTCTTTATTTAATCGC